TTTTTTTCTTGCACTCTGTGGTGGCTCTGCTGCTCTAGCAGGCCATCCAGCTCACAGCAATGGGCTGGTTCAAGTTGTGTGAGTATGTTGACCTGCTCCTAGCTTTGTCGCAGGCCCCAACATTCGGGCTGTACTAATGAATGTTAATCCTTCAGAGCGGCGTGGGACTGTCTTTTCGGCTTTCACACTTTGCGATGACCTTGGGAAAGGGCTTGGCCCCAGCATTGCTACCAGGCCGCATGGAACCACGAATCGCTACTTGCATATTAGGCAAGCCCTACTCAGACTTGCAGCGCCTGTTCTGAGGTTGTTGCCTTGGTTTCTATTTTTGGGCGACGGAAAGCCTTTACAATGGCCTTTGCAGCATGGTGGATCAGCTTCTAGTCAGCACTGCAGGTCATTGAACCTACATACCGGATATGCTGCAAGGGTTGGGTGTTTAGGGTGAGGAACTCATTTGAGAGATCTTCCACTAACCCCTGACAATGCACAAGCTGAGGCCGGCATCTCCAGCAACAACAACCCTCATGCATGTTCTCCCATTGCAAAGGAAGGCTCAGGATTGCCCAAGATCCCAAGTCTGTACACATTATGCTGCTGATTCCGTCTCTTTGACCTTTCTTCCAACCTGAAAGTACAGGCGTAAAACAACACAAGGCAGAAGCGAGATGACATGAGAAGGCTTGGAACATGGAAGCTCTTCACCAAACTTGCATTCATCGACCATTTGACACGTCCTTCCTTTTCCTTTCTTGCTTTCTCAGTCGATTTCTTTACTTCGTCAATTACTGAGAGTCATCAGAATGCAACAAGTCACCAAAGACGTAAAGACAAAAGACAGCGCGCAAGAACACATATAGCTCAACAACAAGCAAGGCCACCTTGTGAAATAGGCAGTGCCGTAAATTGTATCCTTGTGACAATGAGCCCGACTAGCATCATTAGCGCAAAACTTCCTCCAGAACACCCGACTCAACTGTCACCATGTTGTTCCGATTTATATGATATTTAGTTTTTTTGGACTGAACATATCAGTATTTTGGAATGGGTGACCAATTGGCGCCAGTCATGCTGTTGGCCTTGTATTTGCAGCATTTTGTTTGAGTGCACAAAAAGGACACTGAGACCCCAAGCTGCTTGGAGATGCCAAAGATGCGGGCAATCCACACCAGCGGTCCAACCACGAAAAGCAACGGTCAACGGTTTCTTTTGAGGCAATCCAAATTGAGAGCTTGGGTGGTTTGTGGTACATCCCCTCACTCGCACACTCTTGTATGCAAGCTCTTTGTACGCATCGGCACTGATGCTTCGATAAGGTGGAGCAATTGTCACCCAGCTGCGACACTCGCTATATGCAGATGCCTCCAGGGGTGACTCAATCTTGCCGACCAAGAAGATGTAATGGTTCTACCTCAATCTGAGCCCCTGAATCTCAACACACAGCTGGAGATGCACATGGTCACCAAGAACTAAGAACTACTGAGGGACAGATGAAGCAAAAGTGCAGTCCATCGAGCTTGCTGCTTTCCAAAGAAGAAAGCTACGGGGCCGACCTGAACTTCGGCATCGCGGAGACTGCGAAAAGATGCTCCTTCCAATGCTGCTAGTAGCAAAGGGCATTGCTACTAGGAGCAAGGACGCTGGCCTTACTACTAGGAACGAGAAGCTAGTAGCAACAGGGGCATCGCTGCTTTGCAGAGTCTTTGCAATGCTTTGCATTTAAGTCAAAGTCTTTGTCCAATCCAGGAGCAGCCGCCCGAGCTGCCTGTCCAAGACTGAAGCTCCAAGCACTCACACCATACCGTGTCGCCCTCGTCGTTCATGGCTCGACTGAGTCTGGAACGGCTGATGACATTTCACGGGCTGTTCATGGCCTGCTGCAGAAGGCTAAGTGATGCAAAATGTCCATGTGTCACCATGTTCCTTCATGTTCCTTCCATGCTGGTTTGTGGTGCTTTGAGAGGACACTCGAAAGCGAATGTCACTTGCAAGGACCTTAGAACCCAAGGTGAAAAGACTTGCGAAGCAGCTTCAGAAGATTTCTTGATTTCAGCGATTTCAGGATGATGCACTGTCCACAAGTAGTGCAATTGCCGCACTTGCAGCACCTTCATTTGCAGAGGCGCAAACCAAGGGTCGTTATGAACGAGAGCAAAACCCGTTTGAACTGAGGCGAGGGAACAAAGCGAATCCGCATTTCATACAGAGGCGAACCCGGACAGTTTGCGCAGCCCTCGTAAGTTAACTGATTGTCCAGCAGTCCCCAGATGCAAAAGATTGCAGCGTTTACCGTTTACTCTTTTGGTCCAGAACTTCTGGCATGTCCGACCTCTTTTTTGGGACGTAAGCCGAAGAAGAAGCTAACGTTGTTTGGTAGCTTAGGAAGCTACTAGGCGACGCAAAAGAGAGAAGGGTTTTGCAAGGAAGAAGGAAGCTGGCTTTGAAACTGGCTTTGAAGGGTCCTAACTTGTCTTTTTTATTCTAAGATTTTCAGGGATATGAAGTTACAAGCTAACTTGTCTAGTTACTAGTTCATATGAAGTTCCAGTTGCCTAGCTGTCGGTTCCGTGTACAGACCCTAAACAGGGAACCTCGGTCTGTGCAGTGCTAGCAGGACAGCCTTTGTGGCATTGATGACGAGCAAATTCTCGGCAGTGTGAGTCTTACGACCAAAAGAAACACAAGAAGGACATGAATACTAGCACCTTCAGGATTTCATCTAGCTCTCAAAGTGGAGGTGATGCTGACAGCTGGCACGGCGCAGAGCTTGTGACTTCCTGGAGGGTGGAACCGACATGTTCACGTCTTTCGGTATTCTTATTCACATTGACAGTGCTTCATGCCAGGCATCAACAGCAGCTGGTCTGGCCAGGGCTGCTTTGGGCGCAGATGAGGTTCCAGATTCGACGTAGCAGATGGGACATTGTGCTTTTAGAAAGTGCCTCAGGATGACCCTGAAGAGCTGAGAATTGCATTGCAGGCACTCCAGACCAAGCCTCAGTGTTGTCAAAGCAGTCTCAAAAGCTCAGTAAACAGCTTTGCAGTTTCGTTTTTTGAACGGTCAAGGCTCGAGCGTCGGAAGTTTCTGAAGGCCGGGACGCATGAGCGCAAAACCATGGGGATTTAGTGGGAAATCAGGGACTTCTTGAGAAGGTGCATATATAAATACATTTTGCGTTCCATTGCATCCATGGAATCCATGTCATTATGTCTTCATTGCTCCATTTTGGAGGACACTGTACCGGCTGATCCAGATGCCACCCTGCTTCTTCCTACCCTGACTGATGTGGGTGGTGGCCCGCTTGTCGAGCATAGCATCAGCCCGCAATTTTTAGGATTTGCAGCTAGATTTAGAGAGTCTCGACTCTCGACAAGTCTTGGAGTGTGTGCAAGCCAGGCTCTCCATGACCACATCGAAGGTGCAGGTGCCGCAGACGGGCAGAAATAGAATCATTTTGCAACCTTGAGCCCAGTGAGCTGTATTTTGGGTACACTGCGAATGAGTCTTGCTACACACACACACACACTTGAGAAGGTTGCTCCGTGGAGCGTGATTT